CGTCTCGCTGAGGGTGAACAGAAAATGCGCCATACCATCCGATAAACTTGTTGCGCGTAAGCATCGCAGCCATTGGCAGGGTAGAAGACAGCGTCGAGGAGAGCTCGGTGGAGTCGCCCTTGGCCTTGGGCTCCTGATAGGGGACGACTGCGCGGGAGAAAAAGGTTAGCAGACATTCGCGACAGGATAGGAGTGGTGCAAAACATACTCAGGTCCGGCCGACGCATATCCCGCTTGGACGCCATTGTGAGAGCTCTGGTTGAATTGGATGTGCTGTACGAGGAGGGCAGAGAGCTGTGGCGGAGGTGGTTCGAAAGGTACCACGGTCCTGGATGCGCGAATGAAGCTCTCACCCGAAGTGACAGGGCCGCACTCCAACAGAAAAGTGGCGCCTAAGTCTTCAGGCAGAAATATACGCGACCCCAAAGAGCTGGGGAAGGACAGAAGGGAAGGGGAAGGGAAAGGCTGGCCGATTGCCCCGCCCCGCTTGCACACACTCAGCCGACGACACGTTTTCTGCTATATCTACGCCCCCCCACTCTTCTCTCCCGGAAGGTGCCTGGGGGTGTGTATCTTGTCGCGCGAGCCGTCAAGCGGCCCCTCCGAACGCCGCCGCCCCACGAACCGATCTGACAGTGGGAAGCAAAAGTTGCAGAGATTCCGAGGGACGCGGATTCCGATAACGAACAGGCTCACACTTTGCGTGCCCGGGATTTCCAGAAACCTGATACTAAAAGATGGGGATCGCCGTCTGCCCAGTGCGAAGGTGGGAGGACGCTCCCGCCGACGGGCTTAACCTTGCGATGGTGTTCGTTCCGCTGCCGAATTCGACTCCATGAGTGTGTCCGGGAATTGGAGAGCCAAGTTTACAGACTGCAACGGATAACCTCCGCTGGACATTGTCTACGTGTGCCAACGCTCTGTAGGGGGAGATATGACAGGATCCCGAAATGTCTGACTCTGGGACGTGGACCACTGGATACTCTGGGTGTCGAAGTTTGCGGGGCCTCGGAAGATGCGGCCTACGGAGGGTCCAAAAGAAAGGAGAAGGGCAGAACAGCTGCATATTACTCCGGCGTCTTCTCCGTGGCCGTGGTAATCATTCGCAGCATGGAGCTTTGCCGGAGCATTTTGTTTTGCGCGCCTGCACGGCACCCTTACGAAATCCCCTTCTCCGTTATCTGGCGCGGAAAGTATCGCCCGTATGCGGGCCCCTCTGCAGCAAGACGAGCACGAGATAACAGCTAGGCTGCGGCCGTCTGCCCTTGCAGGCACAGCTATATTCCCCCACACGGGGCCTGCAGGAGAAGGAAAGGAGGGCCCTGGTGGCCCTTTTTTGGAGTTCGCTTGGAACTTTCGAAAGAAGGTTTTCGACATCTTCTGGGGCCCTGGGCTGGGCATTGTCGGGGAAGCGGCCTTGGAGTCTGGAGATGCGGTGTGCTAACACTGCTGCTATACCTACCATCGTGGCCTGTGCTTGTCCAAATAGCCCTCCAGACGCGGGCTTTGGTCGCAGCGACACGGAGCCTAACATTATAGATGTCGTTTGGCGAATAAGAGCCGGATAACTCCAGTTGGGCTCTGCGAAACGTGGATGCCGCTGGAGAGGAGTCTGGTAGAGTGGTGGAACACGGAATAAAAGCCAACGAAAGGCCTCCAGCTGGCATAGTTGATGGGTCTGTTTGACACGCAAAAGCCCACTCAGCACCAGCAGAGCCCGAAGCAAGTCAGGCACGGCGACCCGACTACCTATGATTGCGCATACCTCATCAGGAAAATGTCTCGAAAGTTGGTGACCGCGGTCATACGGGAGCAGGTTGTGTCAGCTGAAAGAAGATGGCCGATGCCATCGTGTGTTTTCTTGTGTTTATGGCAGGTGTTCGGCGGCTTCTCAGTGGCCACCCCCGCCAGGTACCACCTGATTTGCAGCGGCGGATCGCATGCAGCATGATGGCAGATTGCGTGACACCTGGCGGCGATTCGGCCATCAAAGACATGGACAGCGCGTGGGCGACGCAAACCAAGGAGCCGCGGTGCCACGGCGGCCCGGTGCCTGGTCTGGTGTAGTAAGACCGGCGGGCGTGGTTTGGCACATTTTGGTTCGCCGGCCGAAGACAAACTTTCCCAGGGCCTGGAGAAGGAGTCTACCCCAGGGCCCTAAGGAGAGTCGGGATAGTCGACCGGGATGCTGTTCGATAGAAGCCGAAGGGTACTATAGCCCCCCTCCTTCAGTGGTCGAGCCAGTGGTTGAAAAGGTCCCGGGGATAATGAGAGCCAGAGACAGGTGTCCCACGAGACCGGAGAGTATGGACGAAACGCGGGAAGAGTTAGGGCCGGTTTTTTGTGTCAAACGGGGCTGGTGGGTGCTGTGAATCTGGTGGCCATTCTCTGCGGAAAGCAGTGCCGCTCGCTCAGATCGTCTACCAATTTTGCAGAGTTGGGCCTGTTCTTCTTGTCCCTCACCACCTGTTCGGGAGTCGGGAGAGCGGGCTGATGGGACGGTGGGAGAGGGGGAGGGGGAAGGGATGAGACAAAACACACGGGGTCGTAGACAAATCAGATGCAAGAGAGAAAAGGGCAAGACAGGCGTCGCTCGAAGCGAATGTGTCGATAATGGCGATGATGCGTCGTCCTGTCGATTTTGGGTTGGATGGTGGCGTTGAAGTAAAGCACCCGAAAGTGGTAGCTAAGATGCAAGTGGCAGCTAGTTACGGAGACGAACACTTGCCAACCTGCCGCTCTGCGAAAGCGACAACTGCCCAGGTGTATTCGATTGATACTAAGAACTGACAAACTACCCACGGAAGGGACGTTTGGTGCGATTGGACGGGTTAAGAGAGCGGCAGAAGGCCAGGCCGGGCGATAGGAGCAGCTGTACGGAGTAGTCGTCTTGGGATCTTGGACCGACTGCGGCTAACAACATCCCAACAGCCTATTCCGGCTTCCTCTCTCCGCCCTTCCGTCTGGTGATGTGTACATAGATGGGCTCTGCCATTCCAGCGGTACGGAACACCGAAGGAAGCAAGATTTAGACCTGGGCGAAGGGCACACCCGGGCGTTTGGGTTCCCTAGCCGTACCTCCAGAGTCCAGAGTATCCGTACAGGTAGGAAGAGTCTAGGAGAGTGCAAGTGTCTTTACTAAGCGGTGGCCCGGTCCTTGTCAGCATCGACTGCGAACTGACACTTGTCTAATTTAGCATGCTTCGGGTTATTTCGATGACTGCCAAAGTTTATACGCGAGGATGCAAGTCTGATACGGAGCTTGGGAAAAAGGCAAAAGGGGGCTTACGATGATGATGATATTGATAATGGCGATAAGTATCTGTAATCCATCATTGTCTTACATCTCAGCACTCCAAAGAGCCCATATGGATACACTGAGTGACTGACAAGGAACGACTTTCAGAACTGGACAAGCCAGAAAGGAAACAAGACCGGGGCGAAGGTCACTTGGAGGCGGGAGTGGGCGAATCAGCTGTAAGACATTGGCTGAACAAACCAATGAGACAGACTGGGCCCCATGGCGGCGGACGGGGGTTGTCCTTGGACTGACGGATTTTGGAGGTTCCATTGGCATCAGGGGACTGAGAGGAGAGAGAGGAAAAGAGACAGAAAGGGGGGGGAGGTGTGTGTTCTTTTCCCCCAGCTGATCGAAGAATCGGTCTAACCTATTCAAGCCAAGGCGCCAGCTTGACCTGGTTGTCGTCGATAATTTGTTGACAGGAAGCTTCCGATTTCCATTCCTAGTTCATTACATCGCATCGTTACCAATTGTTCATCATACGACCAGTCTCAGGTTACGGTCTGCAGGTAGGCAAATGAACAAGCTGAATCTGCCTATTACTTGAGTATTGTGTTGCTGTAGCAAATGAGTTTCCCAGCCTCATCTTTTACCGCTAGTTTTTTCCCCCTATTGCCGCCGCCGCCTTAAAGCCTGCCGCGTATCCGCCTGCTTTATGCCGAAACACCAAACTGTTCTTTTTCCTTAGCCAAGAACGGGACGTTGCTGTTTGGTCCATGTCTGCATCGTGTGGTCTGGGAAGTGGGTGTAAACTCTGTCCTAGATACAGATGTTCCTAGTTAATAGGTAATGCTTGGTGAACTCGGGTCGGCATCCGAATTGGAACATGCACACCACAGAGACAATGTTTTAACTACCCAGTACTGTGTAGTTTCCGTATTGACACAGAAAGAGTGCGCAGAAACATTAAACAGTCCCTGCGCTTATCGGGAGCTTCCCGCAAGTCGGCGCAACTCATCAACCTGGTCATGTCCGTGAACTCGAACTCATCCATCTCGGAGAAGGTCCCAATTCAACAAATCGTACACACACTATAAGCCGTATGGGATTGGACTACCTACAGAGCACAGCGTGTGAATGAGGCGCTTAATCCAACCAGCCCACCCCCCCCCCCCCCAAAGTCGCCTTGCTGGTTCCAGGGCTCCAAGCAACATACTGAGAGAAAAACTCCCGCTCCCTGGAACCGCAGATCCCATCGGCTCCCCGCCCCACGACTAAAAGCAATTTAGCTGCTGTTCCCTGGACGCCCACTCACTCTCACACACACACCTTCTTTTCACTCACTCCGCTGTCCCTCTCACTCTCACCTCTCACTTTCACTCACTTACTCATTCAAATCCCCCTCCTCAGCTCACACCCCCCTTCCCGTACCATCTCATCCCGTATCACACGCCACACCCTCCGCTTTCCGTTCCGTCCACCAGCACCAGCACCCGCACAGGGTGTTTGTCAGGTTGCCTCTGGTTGCCTTTCCCATTTTCAGTTACCATTCCCATTCCCCGTTCCTAGCCTGAATTCGGTCGAATTGAATTCGTCGGGTCCTTATGTGCTGCGTGACTAGATACCCAGTCCTAGGCTGAGCTGAGCCAAGGCACACTATAACCCCGAGCCATCTTTGCCGTCCGTCTAATGGTCTCCTGCACCACCTAGTACCTACGGAGTGCGCTGCGCTGCGCTCTGGCTGCATTGTAAACCCCAACCCACGGCAACTCTGCCTGTCACTTTCAAACACCTTCTCAGGCGCCCTCTCTCTGTTCTCCTTTCCCTCTCTCTGCCTTTTGAAGCTCAATCTCCCCCAGTCGTTGACTCGTTTGGGAACAAGACTCTTCCTCATACCTGGGCTACGATTTTCTCCGCTCCCCGCCTCCTAGCTTTGTTCATGTTGTCTGATCTTGACGTTAGCTCTCTGCAACTCATCGCTCACCATACGACTTGTCCCCTTGTCTTGACACTCATAATCAACGGCTTCAACACAACAACAACAACATAGGCTCTTTCAATTTCAACAGTGTCAGCAACCAGCAGGATTTCCAGCGGGCCGTCGCGAGTCATCCGACAACAGCGAACCTGGCATACGCGGGAACCTTCGGAGATACTGCGCCCCCGTCTCTGTATCCGTGGTAATAGCCAGCCGTACGAAAGATCCCACGCGCACTTTGCAAATCCGCCGCCGCTGTACCGTACGGTACCGCACCAGGGCCCTGCACACTCCACCGCTGCATGCACCCACCCTACCAGTGGCCTGCTAATCCAGTCCCAATCCGCAAACCGCTCTTGCACCCCCGACCGCTGCACAGATAGCGCGGCTGACGCCGTCAGATCCCCGACATCAATCCGTCGACCGATTATTCCTCCTCCCCCCCTTCCATCCAACATCACTTCAACATCGTCAAACTGCTGGCACTCGGCATCGCAGCCTCGGCGCTTCGACCTAGTCGCCTCCTCACTACATCCAACACACCCGATCATATCTTGAGAAATCAGCAATGTCGCCTCGGAATTTCCGCCTGCGATGACCTCAAGGACCCCAATGGGCGTCCAGCCGCGACCGCCCCAGCAGCGAACACTGAGCAGCTCGGGCTTGTCCGTCCAACGGCCAACCCAACAGCGTTCCCTGTCCGCCCAGTATTTGCCCCAGTCGCCTGTTCGAAAGGATAACCTCATCGACCTGACTGGCGATGCCAACGACGCCGCCGTCGCACAGAACAGATATGGCACGTTACCGCGGAGGGGAGGCTCTCGCCTCAAGCTGGAGTTGTCCAACGAGGCCATGCTTGCCCAGCACGGTGTCAGCGAGTCCCCAAAGACCCTCACGCCTTCCCGCCTTATGCCCAAGAACGAAACCTCAAACCTTACCGATATGAGCTCGCCGGCCTCGGCCAAGGGCCAGCCCGTCGACGCAGATAACCCCCCGATGCCCATGCCGAAACGTCGTCCGCGATTCGTCGTACCCGCCGCCGTCAAAGATGCGCCGGCGCCTGTCATGGCAATCAAGAAGGATGGCCGACCGAAACCGTACCACATCGAGACCCCAAGCATCGCCCCCCGATATGCGCCGTTTAGCAAACCGAGGCCCGACGCCGTAGCCAAACCAGGCTTTGGAGGTTCGAGTAGTGGCGCGCGAGATATCCCGGATATGGGGCACGCCGACTTCTTCCCGTGGACCGGAAACCACCCCGAAGACCAATATACCGAATCGATCATCAAGAATGGATACTATGATAAACAACCGCAGGCCTCGGTCGAGACACAATCTGCCAAGGCTGCACTGTTTCCCGCCCTCAAGCATAAGAGCGGGCTGAACTTGTTGTCCAACATCTTCATCGGAGTGCTAAACCAGAGAAAGCTCAATGGCCAGATCTCGTCGCCCTCGACCTTCAAGCCGCCGCCGCGCGTTACCCTGACCGATACGAAGCGAGAAATGTGGCTGAGGGACTTGGCGAACCCATCGATATCGTTGCGCCGACTGAGCCGAACGATTCCCCACGGTATCAGAGGCAAAGTGCTTCTAGACCACTGCCTCAATAAGAACGTGCCGACAGAAAGAGCAGTCTGGCTGGTCAAGTGCGTTGGCGCCAATGAGATCCGAGCCTTTAAGAGAAAGGGAAACGGCCCTGGACCCTTTGTGCTCGGTGGCGAGGCAAAGTGGCTCAGAGACTGGACGGTTTTCGTGGAGCAATTTGTGGAAGGAGTCTCGGCGGCCTTTGGGGACAACGACTGGAAAGCCAAAGTTCAATATGCGTAAGTCTACGTCATGCGATGCTTCATGTGTGCGAGCTAACCTTTATAGCATCCGACTTGCGACACACCTCTATGCGGAACAGCTACTCGACCGAGACCACTACATGGATTGGCTTGTATCCGGGTTGGAGAACTCGACACAATCAAAGTTGCCAATGTGGATTCTCACAACACAGATTTACTGGAAAGATTTGCTTCGTTTAAGAAGATATGGCCGACGATTGGTGAATTCGTTGCTCAGCCATCTCAACACGGTACGCCAGCTCAAACCCACAGGGAGTTCGCAACTAACTGTTCAGATTTATAACGATCCCGACCGCGATATCCTCACCCAACTCTCTACGAGGTTGACGTCTCTACTGACACCCCTGTTGTCCGCCTACTCGGACAACTTCGTGTCTCCTGCGACTTGGTTCAAGTACAGAGACGCTCTGCTCGCATCTATTCCGATCGATAACGACTTTGCCCAAAACGCATTCAAGTGGATCAATGTCAGAAACGAGCAGCTAGTTGCATCAGCCAGCAACTCCCAGCCGGCAAACCGACAGATACTGGTCAAGCATCTCGACACCTCATTCATGTCTTTGTACAGCCCCGACTTGGCTACGCAGTGCTGGGCTGTTAGTGAAGACAAGGGAATGATAGTTCGCACATTATTGGAGTGGTGCACCTCGCCTCACCGACCAGGCAACGCAAAGGTGTACATCACTGCCAGTCTTCTTCGAGCTTGGGCGGCTGCTGGAGTGGATGTGACGACGGCGATTCTCGAGTTTCTTAGTGCAAACCCACCAACCGAGACAAGATCAAAGAGAGTTTTCCACCAGCTGGTGTCAGAAATCGTACGATCAGGGGACTTCCAACTTCAGGGATACATATTCTGGCTCATTGCCCGAGGCGGACTGAGAGAACCGGCCGATACTGAGGCAGATGGATCTTGTGCTACAAGGCTGCTTGTCGACCTCCCTCTCCACGCCCTTAACTCTTCTGCCCAAGCCACACGAGCAAGCCTCCTACGACGAGCATCCTACGACGTCAACGACGAAGCCCAGGATATTAACACAGCTCTCAAATGCATTCAGCATGTTATGGGACTTCCTCTTCCGCCTGGAGATCCGATGCTCCAGCGGAAGCCCGTACCAGTCGGAAAGCTCTGCAGGCTGATTACCAACAGCAACCGAGCATTACAAACCGAGGTCGGAGCTAGGCTTCTGCAAATATTCACCAAGGAAATAATTATGACGAAGAACGGCCCCCAGGTCTCCCCGGCTATGTTCAACTTCGCTCGTGCTGTTCTTGAAGCGGCCTCCGACTACTCGGTTCTCGTCGAAATTGTCAAGGTGGTGTCGAGAGCTTCGAATCCCGAGATTCTTGCCTCCTGCGCCGATACTTTCAACGTCCACCTACCGATTTTCGCAGCACTGGGCGTGGCCAAGGAACTGTTCGATGCGCTGATGGAAAGGTTGAAAGCGGTTAGTGACGAACAAGGACCTGCTGCCCGACCTCTCTTGGCGTCTCTGGCAAATCTTTCGACCATGATACCCGGTTACACGAATACTGCTGTCTACTTGCGTCAGCAGCTCCACCAATGCGATCGCAATAACCCTATCGACGCATGCTCGCCCGTATCTGATAACATGACGGCACAGCTACAGGATGCCGAGGGCGAACTACACGAAGAGATCGAGAAGCTTTTGACGAGCGGGACCAGCGTCGATCGGCCTACCATGGACCGACTTTTCCAGACCGTGGTCGGACGGTTGGAATCTTGCTGGTTAAAGTCGGCGGACAGACAGCGTGCTTATAGCGCACTTCTCGGGAGGCTGCGCATTTTCGACGCTCAGCACTTTGACGTGCGCATGACTGACTGGGTCCATCACATCAGCGCGTTGAAGACTCGCCCTACGCTGGAAAATATCTACCCCCTTCTCATCAGCATGGGCTGTCTGACCTTGCCCATTATTCTTACCACGACATCCGTCGAGGCAGGGAAGATCGGGCTGAACCCCTCGATGCCACCTAACAGCACCACGACGTACATGCAGGAAGTCCTCTATCTGACAACGATGCCCCTTCCCGCCAAGACCGCATTAACACCCGAAGAGACCTACCGATTCTATATTCAGCAACGAGTGGCGCCACGTCAAAACCACAAGGATATGGTCTATCTTGTGAGGAATGCTCTCGTCGAGTTCTCGAGGCTGCAGGGAATCGTCGAATCTTCGATGCTGCCACTCGCAAACCCCGAAATCAAGGACACAGCGCTGCAACTGCTCAAGTTCTTGGTTCTGCGGGATCCTCCATCGGTGGTTCAAGCGCTGGGTATCAAGAACCCAGAGCCTGCGTTGACAAGTCTGTTTGCACAGGTTACGACCAAACTCCTACTACCGGATGCTGGCGATGATTCACCACTGACATTTGAGACGGTCCTGGAATTGGCAAACGAGTTTACTCTCCCATTTTGCCAGCTCAAGCTTTCGGTTGGCCTCGCGGCGGATAGCACGACAAGCCCGGGAGGAGGGGAACAGGCTCTCACGCAGTTCGACATGTTTTCGAGGGCGATGGACCGCGCTGTGTCAGCCAACAACGTCATGTGGACTAGCATGCTACCCTACCTGAGCGAGGACATAACGGAGCATCTTAAGAAGCAGGCTCATCTGCGTTTCCTTGGTCTCTTCCCGTCAAACAAGAACCCACCTGCTGCGGATCCTCTTTCTCAGGAAAGCACTCAGCTCGCAGGAAGTCTGCTTTCAGTAGTCGAGGCGATCCTGAGAGGTCGTCCGCCTGTCCGAACATCACAGCTTACTTCGGGCATGGTTGAGAAGCTTGCAGAGCTGTGGGAAGTCCTGGCAACCGACGACATCAACAAGAGAGACCTGCGCGCCTCAATTATCCGCTACTGGCTTCCCGCCTTGTTGCGGTTCATCACGCTCCACACGACTGCAAACGAACCTGCGCCGGTAGCGACTCAACCCCAGGCCGCCAACAACATGAAGCCGCCCGCCAATGCTGCTGTTTTCGAGATTCGGGCGAGAATTCTGATTGTTCTGTCTGGTCTTACTCTCGAATTGGACAATCTAGCATTCCAGGACGCTCAAAATGGCCGACCGCTCGGCCAGCAGGTTTTCGATCTGGCCCTACTACTAGTCGATACTTTGCCAGACGACATACGCCTGCAGTGTGTACGAGTCTTGCTTACAGGCGGCACCATGCAGAACCCAGCATCCTCAGATGCCCGTCTCCGATACCTAT